CGTGAGTTTGTTATTCAACAATTCATTAAAGTTTCACAAATATGAAATAGATAATAAAACAAATTCCAAATTTCAAATTTGATCTTCCACATGCCCATATTCGTAGGAGGATAACGTCATTCAAACTTGGATGGCCTTTTTTCAAACCTTTTTTTTATCACAATGTGAGAAATATACACACATTTATGCAGATTTTCATTATCTAATTACTTCAAATGCAATGCGGGACTCTAACATTTGGTGGCAACATTCTGAAAAGTGATTCGCTGTTTATAGTGATTCAACGCAAAATCGCAAAAACGAAAAACAGTATTAGTATTTAAAAACAATAGTCTCTCAAGGACTATTGTTTTAAGTACTAATAAGCCCCTTTGGACTAATAAATAAAAAAATATGAAAGGTTTCAGATTTTTAAACTACGTCCAAAGGAGTTTTTAACTTTTGTGTGTTTCTCATTAAATATCATGTTCTACGTACTCAAACTAAAGTCAGTTCAACAGCAATATCTCAAATTATTTTTAAATGAGCGTATCTTAAGAGTCCTCCACGCTGGAGATAAAAATGGGATTTTTTCGTACGGGTGACATTACTCGCTTTGAAATCATTTAGTTTTTAATCAAAATTCGTTGAAGTGTTATAAAATAATGAAATCGATAATAAAACAAATTTCAAATTCAATTAGGGCTTCCACATGCCCATATTGTATGGAAAGATTACGTTATTTAAATTTTGATACTTAGGTACCGTTGTTTATTACAATGTGAGAAACTACGTACATTCATGCAGATTCTTCATTATTTAATTTTTTAAGTATAATACAGAACAAAAATATTTAGTGGCAACAATTTGAAAAGTGATTTGGCGTTTATAGTTTTCAATGAAAAATGCCAAAGCGAAATTAAGTCCTTCGGGGTAAATTGCCCCTTTGGACTAAAAATAAAGTAAGCAAACATAAAAAAGTAAATGTTCGTGCTTCTTTTCATAATAGTATTTCATTTAATTTATTTACTGCGGTTTTTTTTAACTGAAATTTGTTACTTTTAGAAAAGTTGCAGGTTATATTTCGAACATTCAGTTGGTGGCTGTAGGTTGGTTATTTTAATAATTTATATAGCAAAATACAGAAATTTTAACACTCCTTGGCCTTCTGCTTGTAGTTATTTTGCGTTGAACAATGTAATTACAATTATGTAAGAAACCAAACTATTGAATTTTTTTCTAATAAAAATCGCATTGAAATCAATGTACATAAAAAGATTGGAATATTTGAAATGAATTTGAACAGAACTTCATCTAACCAGTAAAGCGATGAATATTGTTCCAAATGAAAAATAATTCGCCATTATATATTTTACTATCAAAATTAGATTATGCTTCATAAACCCATTCAAATATGCTTATTATAAATTACTGTGATGGCTAATTTCATTTGAATTATTGCTTAATTATGTTATTCTTTACATGTAATATATATAACTCATATTAAATGCAGTAATTAAATGCGCTATTCGTTTCACTCGAATAATTAAAACTTATAACTTGTCGGTTTTAATTATGTATCTATATATCCATAAGTAAATTTGTTTAAATATTTCCTAATGCTATTTTTTAACTGAATTCACGAGCTTTTCGCATATTTCTGAACATTCAATTTAAAAACTAAAGGATATTTTATGAAAATGTTATCTGTTTAAAGAGAGTATTGAAAAAAATGCTTACATGCTACTTATTTATTTCGCGAAGAATGTCACGTTGTTTGTTGTTTTATAACCACTACATGTTCAAGCGTTTTCTTAGAGATTAAACATAGCGGTCTAAAATGAAAAGAGCAACCCTCTTTGCTCCTACTGAGAACTGTCATTTAGAGATCCAGGGTTCAGAAATAAGGGGGGGAGACATCTGCACGGTCGTTTAAGGCGGTCATAACGCTTTCGAGGTCTTTACCACTGACCACCAAGAACCGTCAGTAACGCTTTCGAACACTTTTCCAGTGACCGCCTAGAAGTGTCCGTAACGCTTTCGAGGTAGGCCATCTTGACCGCCTAAACCCGGTCATAACGCTCAGAGGGTTATATTATTGTACACAAAGAAATTTGAGAGTCACAGTGCAGTAGATAGCATTTTGAAAAGAAGGTAGGGTTATTTCTTCATCCTTGCTACGTAAATGCTCATCTGGCAAATGCTTTAGTCAGTTCTTCAACTGTGCATATGTCTTAATGTCATTACAATGGCATCACAGTTTATGTATTCCTTGATTGCAATGGCTAATCTCAGTAGTTTCCAATCTTCTGCATCCACAATCATAGTTTTATCATCATTTTATCCTCAACACTTGTAAATTAGGTTTGAAATTCCCCTTTAGTGAAGCAATTTTTAATTATTTGCGTTTTTACTTTAATCCAGGCAAGTTAAATATTCATAGCCTCAAGAATATATAAACTGTTCTGTGTATTTCCTGTAGTAATGCTTTGAAGGGCTATTTAAATCAAAATTTGCTAGTAGTGCATTTTCAAATTCTTAATGACCCCTATATCTAAAGGCCGTTCTAAACTTGTGCAATTTGCTGCGTAGAAAACAACTTTCATACTTTGCAAAAAAATCTGTCATTTGAGGATGGGCAGTACAATGATCAATAGAGAGTAAAATTACCAGTCCAGTACTTAAACCAGTCCTGCACTATAGCTGCAGGATTGAAGTAACATAAACTTAAAGCATTTAAAATTAATATTAAATTGGAATCAAAGCAAGGCAATTCCTCAACAAACAGGTATAAGAGGTTTAACACAATATCTAAACAAAATAGTTAAAATAAGAATTCATAGTAGAACAAATTCAAAAAATAAAAATGCGAAAGGGAAAATATACAAAATTAAAAAATAAAAAAATTAATCTTCTTTCAGTGAAACTCCAATTCAGAACTTTTGAGAGGGAAATGATTTAAAGCATCATAAAATATGTTCATGAAAACATGTTTCGAGCTCCTAGTTCATTTGAGATCAAAAACCAAAAAAAGATTCAATTAAACTTTCATTTAAGACATTAAAATTCATATAAAACCAGAAAATTGAATCTCAAATGTACCAGAATTTTCCCGGGGAAAATGATTTAAAGCTTCAAAAAGTTGATTAATATGTTTCGAAAACATGTTTGGTTGGTTCTCCTAGTTCATTTGAGATCAAAAACCGAAAAAAAGATTCAATTAAACTTTCATTTAAAAACATTAAAATTCATATAAAGCCGAAAAACTGAATCTCAAATGTACCAGAATTTTCGGTTAGCCTATATTTTAGGGTACCCCTTGGATTATCGCAAATAAGTTGTTTCATTTATGGTAACCTGAGTAGTTAAATGTTATGGAAACCCTATTACAACATGACTGGTTGCGTGATTGCGGTGAATTTGACTGGGGAGAATATTTGTAAGGGCTTATTTCTGCATTGGATATCAGTTAGAAAGTATGTCGCTTATTTTGTGCATTACATTGTAAAATGGCTAATTGACTGGTGTGTAAATGAAGGTTTACTTAGTAGTCATTATGAGTATTCTGTCTGTATGAATGAAATGTATATGGTCGAACGTAAAGATCGTTCAGATGGCTTTGAATGGGTTTGTCGCAAGAAAGGTTCATGCAAGAAATGCCACTGACAGCCCAGTGCTATGGAGGATATTTTTTACTCTTATTTTTATAAATTTATGAGACAACGGCAGTATACAGATTCTAGTTCAGATAATTTTAGAAAGTTTTTGGATGCTGTTAAGGAATTTTGTGTGCCACGGACTGAAGACAAAAATTCCTAAATAAAGCATGTGGATATTTCCTTTGTGTAGTACGTAGATGCAATATGACGTATTTCCTTTTTTTTTTTTTTTTTTTTTTTTGTTTTTTGTTTTGTTATTTCACTGTTTAATTTAAAATGCAGTTTATTGAGATTATATATTTTTTGTTTGGCTCTAATTCAGAATTGGGTGCTCCTTTGACTTTTATGTGAAAATAGATTGATGTGTAACAAAGTCAAGGGAGTGCACAATGCCTAGTTTATGCAATTCTCTGATGTTTTTTTAAAAGAAAATATGTTGATATGTACATTGACACTGAGTTTTTGTAATTCTTTGACATGTCATTTTGGTTTTGTGCAGTGGCCATCTTGAAATTGTACCTTGCTAGCCAATCGCCAATTTTCGCCAAGAGGCACCCTAAAATATATTTTTACTGACTTTTCATTTATTCTGTTACCTTTGAGAATTGGTTATGTATTAATTTTATTGTCTTAAATGAAAATTTAATTGAACCTTTTTTCGGTTTTTGATTTCAAATGAACTAGGAGATCGAAACGTTTTTGAAACATATTAATCGAATTTTATGAAGCTTTAATTCAGTTTCCCCCTCACAAGTTCTAAATTGGAATTTCAGTAAAAGGAGATTAATTTTTATATTTTTTAATTTTGTATAATTTCCCTTTCACATTTTTATTTTTCGAGTTTGTTCAACTATGAATTTGTATTTTAATTTTGATTGGTTTAGATATTGTGTTAAACCTTTTATACATGTTTGCAATTATTAATATTGTTAAGAAATTGCCTTGCTTTGATTCCAATTTAATATTAACTTTAGATGCTTTAAGTTTATATATCTATTCATACATACAGCCATACATACACACAAACAAAGTTTTCAGTTTAAAAGTGCAGCCATTATAGAAATGGAAAATGTTCAAAATATTCAGCCATACCTTGCTTGTATCAATAAGCATAATGTTGGAAACGGTATTCCTTCAGTTAAATATATTTGTCTATACACTTCAGCATGTCATTAACCTTATTTCTGTACTCTGGATGGCAGCAGAGATGCTCATTTCTAATTTTTTACAGCTTCAATTCCAAACTTACTAGAAATTGTGCACGAGACTAAATATATAACTTGCAATACCAAAACAACAGTTAAAGATGCAACACAAAATGAAATGGTGCTGAGCATTTGCAGATAATTCATGAAACCCATCATGCTTTCAAAGAATTTATTCCTCCACCTAACAGCCTAATTTATAAATCTTTCACACATAACAGAACAATATAAGAACCAGAAAAACACAGCAAAGAAAATTATGTACTCTGAAATATGCTGCCCACTTTTAAACTGAACAGTCCATGTATACATGAAAAGCAAATCCCTCGATAAATTAAAGATCAGTAAATGATTTAAAATATAAAAAAATGCATCTTGTTAATAAGCAGCTTGTATTAGAAAGTATGTGTACATATACATTACTTGCTAAATCTGCCAGATTTTTTGAACATGCAACATTTAATCTTTTGCTTTCCTCATAATCCTTCTCAACTTTTTCAACTGATCTCTGAGCAGCACAATGAATTATTACAGTCGGCTAAAAATATTCAACATAAATTAAGTCAAAATATATGATTAGTAAATAAACATGAGAAATACATTACTTTTACAAATTAATATGCAAGTCCCATATTGACAAATAACATTTAATTGCTATTCTGCATTCTATTTTGCTGAAATACACATAAATCTATTTTAAAATACAGTATACAGTACAAAGTCTGTAATCCGGAATGATCTATAATTCAGACCTCAAAGCCAGAAACTTTTTTTTTAATTATGCATGCGCGTAATGCATTTACGCATGTGCGTTTAATGCTAACGCATGCGCATTTAGCACCAAAAAACGAAGCAACTTAAACAACTTACATTGAAATAAATGTTTAATAAAGTAAACATCATATTAGTTTTTCTTTGTAATTTGTACCCTTAGATCCGAATTCTTTTATTCATAAATTACGATTTCATATTTTTAATTGTATATTTCTGCATGCATCTTTACCAATTAAATGATGATGTAGAATTCGGAAAACCCTAATCGAATTGCCGAAGTCCAACGATTTCCGGATTACGGACTTGTACTGTATATTTATATAATTTCGGAACTACTCTGAGATGCGCCCCCAGCGCCAACATTTTTCCAAGAAACTCACGCTGCCATATACTTTCTAAATTTTGTCTAAATCGACTTTAAGTCTAAAATGTCTCCAAAACGCGGTTTTCCCACATGCAAAACCACGTTTTGAACACAAATTTATGCTAAAAATCTGAAAAAAAAAAAATTTAGAAAACAAACTAAGTTTATACCAAAAAATGTGACAAGAATCCATGACCGCGTTGTTTTACAAAAAAAAAAAAATCTACGAAGGCAAATCTAGGCAACGAAGATCATGAACTCTCACACCTAGCTTAATAAATTAACATAACACATAAATTAAAAATACATGTACGGTTCTGTTTAAACTTACAAAAACATCTTGAATTGACAATCTAGGTAACAACGAATCTACGAATACGCACACTTCGATTAATAATCCACATACAACAATATTTTCAAGATACCATGACGCAGCGTTCGATTTCAATTTAAAAACATTACATTGCACGTCTGACGCTACGCACTAATAATAAATAAACTAAAACTAAAATAAATTCAAACATTCAAAAAAACACATAACAACAGAATTCTACTAAAAAAACAATGACCAAACATCTACCAAATAAGGACAGAATAAAATAAAATGCCTTACCATGATTAGCTTTTCGAACAGCAAAGACTCGTTATTTTACATATGGTAACTTGGCGATCTTTTGGGTGAAAATTGGCGACCAACTCTCTACGCACCCTCTATTTTTTTTTTTTCCCGCCGCCATTTTGTCTCACGAAGTAAACAGTTTCTTTTGTTTTATCTACTGAACACTTATTCAACAATTACTAGCCGAATTAACACTTATGCTAGAAATTTTATCCTAAAAATTGCTTAATCTGACAAAGATCACTGCAAAATTGGGGAAAAAAGGCCACAATACCATACTCCTTACGCGTTTTCAAATACACATACACATAAATCATGCACACGTCGACTTATTTTTACGTAAAAAACATCCGAACTACACAAATGGCATTGCGCACACTCTTCACTATATCCATTACATGCTTTTTCTCATAAATTAGAAAATTTCACGAAAATGCGTAACAATTTTCTGAATCTTTAAAACCCGGTAAAAGAACATATATGAAATTACTTATCGCGAAAAGTATATACCCCTTTCCAAATATAAACATTTCCACATATAAAAAATAAAATATCTAAAAACTTTTACCTCTAAATTATCTATATTTAAACATCACCAACGAATTTCATACCGCAAACATTACAAAATACTTAGTGTCAAATATTTAATTTTCCATGCACGTACTTCAGAAAAGTATACCAAATTCCTACAAACATAAAATTCAAAATAACTTCATTTAATTAAATATCACTAAACCATGTACACGTCGACTTATTTTACTTAAAAAACATCCCAGAATTGCACAAAATGGCATTGCGCACACTCTTCACTAATCCAGTACCTGCTTTTTCTCATATTAAAAAATTTCAACGAAAATGCATGAAAATACTCAACGTTACTACTCATATATTCCAAAATATCCAAAAATTAAACTCACAAAATCACGATCATTAAATTAAAATAATTAAATTAAAAACACACTTAAAATATATAAGCACATACATTAAATTAATAAAAATTAGATTACATCCTAATTACTTTAAACTAAATCATTGCTAATAACAATTTTCAAATAATACCATTTTAATTTATTTTACTCCTACATTTAGAACACATGCATAAAAATAATATCCTCACTGATTAAAATAATACTAATTACTAATCTTCTTCAGAATCTTCATACGTCGCTGCAGTACTACTGCTATTTTCTAAATCCAAATCCAGTAGCCAACTAGAAGTCTATTCACCAAGTAATAAGAATAATAAAATTTCACCTATACTCAAAACTTTCAGCAAACTAAGTACCCTTCCTACACTCCTTTCACAAAATGTCCATTTTTACCATATTTCTTGCACCGCCATTTAAACTTGTAATATCCTTCCTTTCACACAATCTCAACTTAATTTTTATCAGATAAACGCATTAAAAATTTAGAATTCACTTTACAAAGCGCCATGCAATCCGAAAATTAATCAACACTATTTCACACAAAACACAATGAAGCTTTTCCAAATTAACCCCTTTTTCCGATTAATGTCATGTTTCACACAACATAGAATATAGCTAAATACGAAATTTCCAGATTTCCCCCCTTTTCCGATTAAACAACTGCAATTCATCCATTAATGTCACATGACATATCTCATGATCTCTCATTCCCTCACAAAAATAATGCGTAATCAACTGCGTGCTTCTCACATTATTACGAAAGTCCTAGGTAGTAACCTTATCGCTCCAAAGTCGCCAAACTACCAGTTACCATATTTAAAGATCAGCCGAAATACCACTTCATACCGCCTTTACATGCCACTACACTATCGTATTTATATGACAGCCAGGCACACTATTCAGAAAATTCATACTATGATTCACAAATAAATAAAATCATAAATTCCTACTTCTATCATGCACAGCCACTAAAAATAATCTCCCAGACCCTCTTTCCACACCTTCAAATATCCACTGCCCCTCAACAGGATGGCCACGATGATATTTTCCTTTGCCGAACTTCAATTCAACAACTTCCACCATTTTATCTTTTCCCCCTATCTTCGCGAACCAACGAGCTCCAGCGAAAGATTTTTCAACGTCAACAGGGTTGCCATACAACACGCAATCGCGCCAAAAACCAGCTCAGAACACATATCGCCACATTTGGTGAAATTAGGGCATATATCAGAGTTGTACCTTAATTTCAATATCTCATCTTAAAGAAATATTTCTTCACAAAATCAGAATTGGTGCTAAATTTATAAGTACATTTCAAAAATGCTTTTACCTTAAACTTTTGAATAATTTCCTTTACTTCATCCAAATTATTTAAATCAACTTTAATCAGTTTATCTCTAGCTCTAGAAAATGCTAAACCAAGTACTTCCCACGAATTATTCAAAAACTCATTTACTATTGCTCTTCCAAGTAGACCAGAAGCTCCAGTAATAAGGACTTTGCTCATTATGACAAAACTAGAAGAAAATAAAACAGATTAACTTAAAAACTGCTATTTAAATTCAGACAATCTTAACAATCAGCAGCATTTAAAATCAACCAGAATCTCTATTTTATCAAAATAAACATACAAAGTACTTAACAGCATACTTCTTATCAAATATTTTTTCAAATCCCATTTCATGAATTTCAAAATAAATACAATTCTTAACTAATCTGGGGGATATAATATTTTTTTTTTTTTTAAATGAATCGCATGATTTGGAAATAAAAACATTTATATTCTTATTTTTTTCTTTTTTTTTGTATAATTTTTACTCGTAAGATAATTTACAAAACAGATTCCAAAATAAAGTGCTGTTATATTAATAATGTTTACCAAAAAATTCATATTATAATCTGACAGAATTTCAGTTTTGAGACATATATCTTGCAAGATCCTGTCTTCCACAATTCTAATTTAATGAGGTAAAGATTACAATTCAAACCTTTAAGCAGATTAGTTTTTATTTTTAAACAAAGCTTCAAATGTACAGAATATCTTCCATAAATCTGAAAATTTGTTCTTGTTTTGTGGATTTGAATTAAAATATGGACTGAATCTGAAAATAAATGAATAGTTATATTTATATGTTATATATAGACAGAGTCAATTAGCAGAATATATATGCATATTTATTCAATACAGAGAGAGTCAAATAGCAAAATTTATATCTATTCAATAGACAGAAAGTGAATCAACAGAATACATATATACACAGGCAATCAGCAGAATGGACAGTTTATCTCACACCTACACAAATAATTCCTTGATTGAACTGACTTCTACTCTCTCATTTTGTACAGGTGAAATTACTTTATTAGTATGCGATACTTTTTAAATAATAACTTGGTGAGTACATCACACATTAAAAATGGAAATTAACATATATAATAACTTTCTAAGTCAGGAAAAACTAAATATCATCATTGAAAATACATTCATGTACCAAAACAGCTTGTCTTCCTACACAACATTCTTGCTTGTTTTTCATAAAAACGAAATAATAAAAACCAAGAATGGGTCAGCCAGTGTGTTACTCAGAATCTGAATTACTCTACGAAATTAAATGAATATGTATTAATACATCGCATGATTTATTTAAAAGGCAGGAGCGTAAATATTTACCTCATATCCCGCAGTTAACAGAAATATATACATATAACCATATAATTAAATAAATAAAAGGAAAATATGCAAACCCGAAAAATTCCAAAAAAATAAAAATTAAGAATGCCAATAAAGAAAACTAAGAATTACAATTTGAAGACTACATAAATTCCAATCTATAAAGTCGTAATGGGAAAGGGAAGAAAAATTAAAACCAAAGATTTAAAAAAAAAAATCAAAAGGACATTATTTTAAAAATAATTTGAAATATTGTAAAAGAAAAAAGGTGACAGATGGAAAAAATTGCCTTGGAAGCACTAGCTAATAGTACTGTAAAAACATATAAATTGAGATGAAAAAATTTCAAATAAAAATTATAGCAATATTACAGAAAATTATCGAAAAATGAACAGTTCAAAAACTAGCAAAATAATGCTAACTATATATACAATATAAATTAGATACAGGAAGAATAGAGCACAATCAGAAGACCATGTGACAAATTTTATCAGCGTATGTTATCTGATTATACCTACCAACATCTACTTTCTACAAAAGCTTATTTTATAATTTAAAAAAAAAAAAAAAAAAAAATTGCATTAATTAATTTTCTAAATCGAGGTCATCAGAAAGTGGATTTACTCTTTTAAGTGATCAGCAAATCACAGATGAAAAGGTTAAAATGTAAATACACCTTGCAACAAATGATCTAACAGATGAGCAAATTTTCTTTAAAACCCTGCGATTTCACTACATGTTTATCGTATATATATGTATTATATTATCGTAGTAGACATCATATTTTGCATCTAACGACCTCTTTCTACCCGAAGGGTGAAAACTTGAGTATCCGTGATTTAGTTCACCTATAGGTGGCGCTTTCACACATTAGCGTGGCGGATAAAAACCAAGGAGGTAAAAACCGGTATTTTGACTTGTGATCTCTCTTCGTACAGTCGGTCACAAAAGAATTTGAACACCGGTACCCATTCAAAAAATTTACTTTTCCGTTGAGAAACAAACTGGTGGCTCGTGTCAATCTTGGTTCGATCAGAACACCAAAGGATGGCTGACGTCCATCCTGGCTAGATGTCGAGAGAAAAAAACCACGAGCTATCTGGGTGAGCAGAGAAATAAAAAAACGCAAACGGTCGCTGCGGCCCGACTTGGTTGGCGAAAAGCGAAAAAGCAAAAGGGTCTCAAGTGTCTATCTCAGTTGGATGGGAAAAACAAAAGGATGGTTCATGTCAAATTCGGCTAGGTGTTGGAAAAATACAATACGACCTATCTGAGTGAGCTGGGAAACAAAATGGCTGCTCAAGGGATCAACCTTTGCGAGCAGAGGAAAAAAAAAATAAAACCCACAAACGGTCGCTACGCCCCCGTCTTGGTTCGCGCAGAGAGAAAAAGAACAGAATCGTCTCACTCATCCACCTTAGTTGGATGGGGAAAAACAAAAGGATGGCTCATGTCAAATTTGATTAGGTGTAGGAAAAAATACAACATGACCTATCTGAGTGAGCTGAGAAACAAATGACTGCTCAAGTGATCAAGGTTCAAGAGCAGAGGAAAAAAACAAACGGTCGCTACGCCCCGTCTTGGCTCGCGAAGACAGAAAGAACACAATAGTCTCCCTCATCCATCTTAGTTGGATGAGAAAAAACAAAAGGATGGTTACTCTCAAATTCGGCTAGGTGTAGGAAAAAATACAAAACGACCTATCTAAGTGAGCTCGGAAACAAAATGACTGATCAAACGATCCAGGTTTGCGTTCAGAGAAAAAACGCAAACGGTCGCTAAGTCCCGTCTCAGTTATCGTCTCCCTCATCCATCTTAGTTGGATGAGAAAAGAACAAAAGGATAACTCATGTCAAATTCGGCTAGGTATAGGGGGAAAAAAATACAATACGACCTATCTGAGTGAGCTGGAAAACAAAATGGTTGCTCAAGTGATCGAGGTTTGCGCTCAGAGGAAAAAATAAAAAAACACAAACGGTCGCTATGCCCCCGTCTCGGTTCGCGAAGAGAGAAAGAACACAATGGTCTCATTCATCCCTCTTAGTTCGATGGGGAAAATAAAAGGGTGGCTCACGTCAAATTTGTCTAGGTGTAGGAAAAAAAATACAACATGACCTATCTAGGTGAGATGGGAAACAAAAATGACTGATCAAACGGTCGCTGCGTCCAAATCTTGGCTCGCGTAGAGAGAAAGAACACAACAGTCTCCTCAGAAAGTCTTCATTGGATGGGGAAACAAAATAGCTGCTCCCACCATCAGGGTTTGAGATGAAAAAAAAAATAAAAGGGTGGTTCTCCATCTATCGAGGTTTAAGTGAGACTAGAAAAAAAAATAGTTTAGCTTATTCGTCAACATGTCCTGTTCATGACATCTTACACTTCTTTGACAAATGGCTTCGAAATATGAAAAAAGAAAATATCCAGCTCGTGTAAAGTTCAGAAATGGCAAAACATTCCCAAAGAATTCTTTTTCTTGAGAAAGTATATCCTGTGTCCAGATGAGGTAGAGGTAGAGAGAGAAAGCATGCTGCATCTTCAAGAACCAGCACTGTTCTGAACAGAAACGTGGAATATTTTTATAGATAAGTGAGGAAGTGAAAGTGAAAGTCAAAAAACGAAATCGGATCGGCTGGGAAAAAATTTTCAGAGCTCAGAAAAAAATTCTGGCTGGCTAAGTTGTAAAAAAAAAATTGTTAATTTTTATTATGTCTTTAAACATAATAAAAGTTAACGATTTCCCCCTTTTGTCTGGGAATGATGACTCACCTTTCTAAAAATAAACCATAGCTCATTGTTTTTCTTGGACTTCTATTTTTAGAAAGGATGAGTCATGATCTATTTTTAGAAAGAGTAAGACATCATTCTAAACAAAAAGGGTGTCGTTAATTTTATGATGTCTAAAGACATCATTAAATTAACAAAAAGTTTTTTTTCTTTTTTTTTACAACTTAGCCAGCCAGAACTTTTTTCTGAGCTCTGAAAATTTTTTCCCAGCCGATCCGATTTCGTTTTTTGATTTTCACTTTCACTTCCTCACTTATCTATAAAAACATTCCGCGTTTCAGTGCAGATTCGTGCTGTCTGTTGAAGAGGCAAAGGATATATATATCTCTCTCTACTCAATCTGGATCCAGGATGCTCTTCAGAGGAAATTCCTTTTAGGAATTGTTGACAACATCTAAACCTTAGATGAATTGGATGTCAATTGCTCGTTTATTTATAAAAGTATTCCACGTTTCAATGCAGATCCGTGTTGGTTGTTGAAAAGACGACACATCTCTACTCAATCTGGACCCATGATCTTTTTTTTAAGAGGAAATTCTTTTAGAAATTGTTGACAGCTTCTGAACCTTTGATGAGTTGGGTGTTTCTTTTCGTATTTCGAAGCACTTTGTCAAAAAAGGAGATTCCAATGGAATTGTTTAAGGATGTCGTCTATTGAAATTGAAAAACAAAAAAAGGAAATATCCTGAGAGTTTTAAAATGAGAATGCTTTTTCCAAATCTATTCCGGTTTTCGTTTGGATAGACATGATCTTCATGAAAGGTAAGTCTTTTACAAATATTTTTACTCAAACTATTCTTTAAAACATTGTCTAGTAGAACATTGTAAAAAAATGTAATAGATTTATAAAAAAACAATTTTTGTTCCTAATGTTATTATCATATTGGACATAATTCATATGTTTCACTATACTCTTTAGATCTGATTCTCCCTTCTTAAATAGCAGTGTCGAAAATATCTGTATGTCGAGAGAGTTGAAAGGATTTCCCCGGGGCCCCCCTTAAACGCATTATTATTTTTAAAAAAACATATGTATGATGTTTATTTTGTTCTCTTTTGGATATCTTCTCTAACATATCGTGGGGCAAAAGGACTTCTGTTCGGCTGCTACCCCTCTTTACGCTGTGATTTCAAAACTGTCCTTTTAAAGACCATGGATCAGCAACGAGACTCTAAAGCAGAAATTGCTCTATTGATTACCAATTTCTAAAGGCTCCCAGAGGCATTTTTTTAAGATTGGTTTTTATTTTTCTAAGCTGAGAGGGAAAAGAAAAAAATCTCTCACAGATAATTTATTCTTTTTGAATTCCCTGAAATAGGTTTCAAGCGAAACGGTCTGGACTTAAATTCTTTCCGTTCTACAGGTCCCTCCGTTTAGGCTGACCATTGAGGTGTGAAGGGGGTAGTTTGTGATATTTATTTCCATTTACACGACAGACAACACTCTTGTGATTTAGAGAGGTATGAGAGACGAGCTAGAGGATTTGTTTTTCCCTTAACATTGTAAAAGGAATCGAGTCGGCTGGGAAAAATTTCTCAGAAAAAAAAATTCTCAGTCCTGAGAGCTGTCATTGTTTTAGGTTGAAGAATGCGTTTTTGAAAATCTTTTCTCGCTTTCGTCTGGATAGAAATGATTTTCAAGAAAGGCATATCCCATTTTTCATTTCTCAAGTCGTTGTTTAAAGCATGCTTCTAAACATTTCCGAGTGAAATATTGTCAGATTCTCTGTTTCTAGAGTGAAACCGTATTAAAAATGTTTCTTTTTTAGTTTCTAATGTTGTTACCATACCAGACATAATTCATGTGTTTTTTGCTATACGTTTTAAATGAGACTGCTCTCAAATATGAGTTGAAACCGTTATCTATTCAGGTAGGAAGTCAACCCTCCCTCTTTAAACACTCGAGAAAGATCCTGTTGAGAGATCGTGTTCTAGTTTTCTCAAATCACCCTGGTATGGCTAAAGCGAAACTTCGGAAGGCTGTCAGTAAAAAACATTTTTCAGATTTGCTTTCAAAAGCTATGCAACAAAAAGCTACGAAGGAGTTCAAAAAGAGCTATGACAATTTCCCAGAAGGGAGGGGAAAATAGGTATCCAGGTGAGTCCACAGCACGAACTGCAGGAAGGTGAAACGGGAAAGGCTTCCATAGATAACAGAGAGTCCATTCTTAAAAATAGAGGGATGTCTCGTCGGATCAAGTTGGCTGGGGAAAAAAATTCATTTTCTAACAGCTGCGAGAAAATGTTCCCATACCTTCATAGAAGCATTTTTTTCTAGGAGGGAGTGAAATGAAACGGGAAAAGTGTAGAAGGAATCTCTCTGGATACCCATTCTTTCCAGATCAGGGAAACACGTGTGTCCCGATGGGTCCACAGCAGGGATTGAACTGCAGCTAAACGCGGAATACTTCATTCAATAATGGAAAGTCTTTTCTTTAAAAAAAATAGGGTGAGGACTCGTGGATCAAGTCGGCTGGGAAAAAATTTCTCAGAGCTCAGAAGAAAATTCTGAGTCAGTCCCGAGAGTTGACATTACTCTAGGTTGAAAAATATTCTCAGATCACCCTGGTATAGATAAAGCGAAACTCGGAAGGCTGTCAATAAAAAAAAACATTTATCAGATTTGCTTTCAAATGCTACGAGAATCTAAAAGAGCTATGGGAATTTCCAGAAGAGGAGGGGCAGAAAATAGATATCCAGG